GCACTAGAAAGGTTAGTTAGAATCAGATTATAAGTGGGTTGTCAAACAACAATAAGTGTTGGTTAGGGAGTGGGGGAAAGGGCACACACATACATTGCWGGTGGAACTGCAAATTGGTGCAGTCAGTCTAGAAAGCAGTGTGGAGATTCCTTAAAAAACTTGGAATTGAACCACCATTTGACCCAACTATCCCACTCCTCAGATTACCCAAAGGGCTTAAAAACAGCGTACTACAGGGACACAACCATATCAATGTTTATAGCAGCACAATTCAGTAGCTCAATTATGGAACCAACCTAGATACCCCCAGTAGATGAATGGATAGGGAAACTTCGGTATATATACACCATGGAACATTACTCAGCATTAAAAGAGAATAAAATCATGGCATTTGCAGGTAAATGGATTAAGTTGGAGAATATAATGCTAAGTGAAGCAAGCCAATTCCAAAAAACCAAAGGCCGAATATTTTCTTTATTATGAGGATGCTGACTCATAATGGCAATTGGCGGAGGAGCATGGGGGGAATGTAGGAACTTTAGACAGGGCAAAGGGGRGGGGGAGGAAAGGAGGGGGCAAGAGGGTAGGAATGATGGAGGAATGAATTAGACATCATTACCCTAAGTACATGTATAAGACATGAATAGTGTGAAAATACTTTGTGTATGGTGTCTTGAAAAATTGTGCTCTATATGTGTAATATGAATTGCATTCTGCCATTATGTATAACAAATTAGAATAATTTTTTAAATGTAAAAAAAGAAAAAATACTTAAATATTGTATTAAATATTTCTAATTTTAAAAAAATGGATTGTATGTAGACTTTGTCTCGTGAAGAGTAGGCATTTATCCAGATCAGTACCAAGACTTTTCACTCTAGCAGTCTGATTCTTAAGACACTAGAGAAAATAGTCTGAAAACAGTGGCTGTAAAAGGCAAATTAAGAATTTAATAGTTCATGAAAAAATGATAAAGAAAAGTCATTGTCAGTAGAGTTGGTTATCAAAAGATTATGAAAAATGAAAGAAAAGAAGAAAGCATTATCCACAGATTTCTAATTGGCAATGAGGATAATATGGARGCTTTTAGTGGAAATGAGGATTGACAGAAGAGAAGAATGAGCAGATTATCCTGAGTGTAGTTTGGGGCATATTAATTTTGAAATGCCTGTGTTATATCCAAGTGGGGATATACAGCATGCCCTGGGAATAAGGAGCTGAACTTGGGAGCAAAGTCAGAGATGAGATGAGAGTTACACATAAAAATCACCATGAAGTAGTGGGAATAGATGTGATTTTCTCTCATTCCCCAAAAGAGAGAAAAGAAGGTCATTGGCCTCAGGCAGCATCAGTGCTGGGTATAGAAAGTAGAGCAGAAGACCCTGAGCAGCCAGAGGGATGTGAAGGAAAATAGAAGAGAACACTGTTAGAGGCGGAGACAGGAAAATATTTTGAAAAAGAAGAGACAGGCCAGCCATGTCAAGTAGGCCTAGGATTTGACAGTTAGGTGATGTTATTGAAGCTAAGAAACTAATTTTGGTAAAGTAATGTAAGCAAAAAACAGACTGTAGTGAGGGGAAAGTAAAGATGGCAAATTCTGAGGGTTTTTTAGAGTTTAATTGTGAATGGAAAAAACACCATATGTGAGAGGTTGGGATATGGGCAGGGTGGCTTGAATGAGAGGTAGAGTTGGAAAAAAATTTTTTTGTTCTTTTGTCTTAAGTATGCAGAACTGTTAAACAGTGTAAGTGAAGAGGAAGAAACAAGTGCAGAGGAGGACTTGAAAATAGGAGAAGCAAGATTTATTAATGAAGAAAGGCCCCAGAGTTTGTATGGGGGAAAGGATATAGTATGGGTAGAGAATTAGCCRTGGTGGAAGAAAATACGACCACTTCTGAAACCAGGAGGGAAGGATGGAATCAAAAATTTAGAGAAATGTAGAGGTATAGGAGAGAAAAATTGAAATTGGACTGTATCATTTAGGCCTCAGGTTCCTCATTAACCTAAAAGAGGGAGTAAGAACAAAACTGAAGCATTGAGATGCATGGTGAAGGCTTCAAACAGAAGCTGGAAGGTTGAATGAAGTAAAATATTTACARCATAACAAAGGATGTTAGCAGTTAAAGTGGCATTAGATGTCTACTCGTTATGATTGGCAATATCGAGTTGAGAAGAGACAAAAAACTGGAAGGACTCAAATATTGAAAAGAATGGGGCTCTAGGATTAGGAGATTGAAGATCAGGTTCAATGAAAAATGAGAGAATAGGGAAGGAAAGAAGAAGGCTGTGGTCTTAGAGGAAAATAATCAGAGTTGTGAAAGATAATTCCCAAACCATAAAAATAATTGAAAAAAGCCCGGTGTGGTGGCACACAACAGTAATCCCATCTACTCAGGAGGATAAGGCARGAGGATCTAAAGTTTGAGGACAGCCTGGACTATTAAGCAGTACTACTCTTTCTCAAAATAAAAAAGTCTAGAGATGTAACTSAGTGGTGGAGCACTAAAGTTGAAAAAACAAATACCTGTAGTAGGATTTTGAAGATTTTTATCATAAATCTTTGTGTGTGTGGTGCCAGTGATTGAACCCAGGGCCTGTGCATGTACGGCAAGCACTCTACCAACTGAGCTAAATCCCCAGCCCGTATCATAAATCTTCAGACTTTATTCTGTCCTTAGTAATTTTGTTTTCCCAATGATTCAACTAATGTTCCATTCAAGCAAGAAAGTAAAGAAAATGCAGTGCTTAGTTATGGCTCTGGTTTACCCACTGTACAAAAAGTAGACAAGCAGGCCAAGAGTTCATTTCCTCCCAGTTAGGGTTCAGTTGGAAGCAGTGCTTTAGAACATGATTGCTGAAGAAAATGTCAACACTTACATAAGGCACTTAGCCATTACAGAAACTGTACAGACTGCCATATGAACACATTCCCTGGGGGAGAAGGTGACCAGCCCACCCATCTATCTTCCTCCTCCTAGTGTCTGGAGGACATAGTGAGGTCAGGGAGCATAGTATGTTTCTGTTTGCCATGAGAGCCAATAATTAGGGTCTGCATTCTTGAAAACATTCTTTTGGATAATTGGATAAAAATTTAAAATTAGGTCAAGGTGCCATCATATTCCTACTTTGTTCAGGGTGGCTTGAGTGGAAGCTCCATTGATGCTGATCCTTCTTGGTTTCCTCTTTGACAAGTCAGGTTTTAAGGGAGAACAATTTATGCCCTTCAGTGATTTTTCAGTGTTTCATGCTTTAAAATATTCTGGATGTGGGTTAAGTTTGGCCTCATAATGTTCACAACATTCAAGAATGAATTTTTTTGAATCCTTGTTACCCAAGAGGCCCATGGAAACAAGATGGGTTCCTAAGTAGTACTGTAGTGCTAAGACAAGAAATGTATTATGCTGGCCAATTCTGCTCTCATATGATGAGGGCAAATGTTAACAATTGTTGGCTACTTTCTTTCCAGAAAATACAAAGGTAAGAATTGAAATCAAGTTCTCAGAAAAGGATATGAAATGAATTGAACCTACCTCAATCCTAATATATTGCACAAAATATATGTATTATTACCTTCAAAATGGAAAGATTAAAGATCACTTTCTTGCACTCAGGAAGCTTTTAAGTTATTCTTTCCTTTTTGTTATTTGGACTAGGCTTAATACTTTTGAAAGTAAGACTCTGCTCTGACTTCTTTTCCATCCTTGGACTAATCTTCCTGTATAAGGTAAACCTCAAAGTCTTTCTTACAGTGATACAGTTAACCTAGACCAGACTGTAAATTCTGTGAGCACAGATAGCATCAATCCCTGAACTCCTTGCTAGACATCAAGATAAGTGAGCACCACTTACTGTATGGGCCTCCATTGGATCCTTCACTTTTGCACTTTTGTGCCCATGTTGCCTACTGTGTCTCTCCCTGTTTAAATGCTGGCCATTCTTTGTCACTATGTGCAACTATCCAGCATATCTCAAAACCTTAACTAATTAGGCAGCTGGCTTTGCACTTAGCTTTTTCTTAGTTCTCATACCCTTTGAAGTCTCTGCTATTCAGTTTAGCTAGACTTTCTGTTGCCTTTAACTTTCCCTTTATTTCTACCTAAACTTTCCATTTTATATGTTAATTTCCTGTCAGAATGTAAATCCCTTAAAGGAGTCTCATCTTTTTTGGTACTAGGGATTGAGTCCAGTCTTAACCACTGAGCCACATCCCTGACCCTTTTTTTTTTTTTTTTTTTTTTTCATTTTGAGACAGGGTTTCACTGAGTTGCCTAAGGCCTCACTAAGTTGCTGAGGCTGGCCTCAAACTTGTGATCTGTGATGCCCAGCTTTTTTTTTTTTTCCAAGATTGATTAGTGATGAAAATTATAATTAACTATATAAAATGATTAGACCTTGGAATTTTAGATTTTTGGAGATGAACCAAATAAGCTTCCTCTTTAGAAAAAGAGTAGTTAATATAGATTTATTTCTTCAGATAAAACATAATTACAGGAAGGGTACCTCTATTTTACTGACACCTCCTTTGGTTTGAACAATGGATTGGCAGAAACCAAATCAGTTTCATTGGTGCCTTATTGTTAGTTGAGCCTCAATTATCTAAACTATATTGTACAGGGTTAAGAAAGTCATGTTAAACCAGTTTTTTTTTTTAATTGTACATTGTTAGTGCTTTCAGTATCATTAACAAGTAAAGACATTCCTGTTATCATTTTGTTTTGTTTTCTTGCTTTATCATTACTGAGTTGCTAGAAAATTTGTCATTTAAAGTTGATGCCATTCAGCAGAGGATTTAGAACTAAAGACTAGAAATTGGAAAGGCTAATATGTTTTTTACTGTTATTGTATTCTTGGTCAACTCATTTATATGTTTTCATTTTCTTCACCAACCTTGTTTAACAGCTTAAACCATGGAATACTAAATTTAGACTCCAGGGTTCATACAGAGGGCTGTTGCTGATATTTGAGATGGACAAATTCTCTATTGTTGCCAATTTTTGCAGGTATAAAGAAGTGAATAAACGGAGACCCCGAAGTCTACTAGAGAAATTGCGCTGGGTAACCCTAGGCTACCATTATAACTGGGACAGTAAGGTATTCAAATTTTTTCATTCTCCATTTATGTGCTTCTTTTTTTCTTTTTTTTAAAATATTTTTCAGTTGTGGTTGACATAATACCTTTATTTACTTATTTATTTTTTATATGGTGCTGAGGATCGAACCCAAGGCCTCGCACGTGCTAGGCGAGCACTCTTCCGCTGAGCCACAACCCCAGCCCCCATTTATGTGCTTCTTGAGCCTGAATAGTTGGATTTCTTCCTAGTCAAGCTTAAAGTATCACCTAGGGACTATCTAGAGCATAAGTTATCCATAAGGTTATTTTTGTAGGGTCTCTTTATTTATGCTCTCCTTAAAAATCTCCCTTCAGTTATCTCAGAAGAAATGAATAATTTATTAAGAGAAAATTTTGTCTGCATAAGCCCTCAGGTCATATTATTGCATCAAAAGTCATCAGTCCTGTCTCAAAGTCTGCTTCAGGATATAGATTTCTTTTACTGTTTCCAAAAGCAGTTCTCAGTTATCTTTATATTCATTATTGTTTGAAGTTTGTTGAGCATTTATTTTCTACATGATATGTGCCTGGAGTTTACCAAAAAAGTTCTCTATACTTAACAGTGTTTTCTTCCATCAATCAAAAGAACTTCCAAGATACCTTTGCTTGCCAGGAGATGCCAGATAAATGTCTGGCCAGGAGAGAGATGGGAAAGAATTTCCTATAGTTAAGAAAATTCCATGTTTTATTGAGCTACAATTTCTTTTCTGTCCTCTGTGCTTCAGAAGACATATCATTTCTCACTAGTAACACAGTGTCTCATGTCTCAATGTTTACCACCAAGTAAAAGAATTCTAAGATTAAACTGAGGAATGGGGTAGAGATCAGTGGTAGAGCATTTGCCTAGCATGCGTGAAGCCCTGTATTCCATCCCCCACACTGCAAAAAAAAAAAAAAAAAAAGTAAGTGAAGGCGGAGTAAAACATATTGGTATAGACCATATTCTCTGCCTAACCAGTTACTTTCTAAAAACTCTGTTGTTTTAGTTAACCCAGCTTATTAATAAGTTTATTAACTGGTTCATGTAATGTTACTTTTTAAAAGTATGTGTAATATAATTCTTTCTTTCAGTGACACAGATTCAGTATGAAACTAGATGTTTGTATTCAGGAAAATGGCCGTATGATGGTCTTTGTGTTAGACAGTTGGTGTTTGAATCCTGTTTGTGAGTAATACCTGTAAAATGATTACCATAGTGCCTGACTATTCTAGACAGTTAGATATATTAACACAAAAGGAAATAGCATTTTTTGTTTTTTTAAACAGGGCCTTGCTAAACTGTCCAGACTGGCCTTGAACTTAGAATCCTACTCTCAGCCTCCCAAATTGCTGGGATTACAGCCATTTACCACTGCTCCTGGCAGCTCTTGTTTTAAATATTTTAGATATATTGTTATTCCCAAGGACCTCAAGTTTAACCTTGTTTACTAAGAATAATGGAAAGTGAAAAATTATCAACAACTCTGAATGAGAAATCAAAAGTTTAAAAAAAATGAAAGTTTAGGGGGTGGGACTTGACAAAATATAGTATTTTTAGTTAAAAAGAGAGAATTAAAAGTATGATTGACAAAAAGAGAGAGAAAGAGTAAGTGCGTAATCCATAGACAGTTTGGACAGGTTGGAAAGCCCGAAAGGTAATTATTTTAACTATAGCAGAGGCTATCTAGAGCTACAACAGGAGGCCTAACTAGTTGATCTTCTAAAGGAATAAAACTTAAATTGATACAAGGAAACTTTAATGTTCTGTAACTATACCTTTAGTTTTAAGAATTAAATAGGAGCTTTTCTTATTTGCAGTTCAATAGAAGAAGATAAAATTAAAAACAGAAGTTCTAACCAAAGAGGTAGGCCATCCATCTAAGATTTCACAGAAGTTTTCCTTGTATCTGAAGTTAAAGTGCACTTCTGGCCAAAGTAAATCCCTTCTATCCAGAGCCAGGACTATTGCTCCAGCTAGAATATATCAGGAAACTAGTGGATTTTCTGATCACTTTTGAGGTTGATTTGGCAATGGAAGAGGTGGGAATAGAGGAGCATCCAGAAGGGAAAGGCTGTGTTGGGCTGCTGCAGGCATGCACAGCCCAGAGAGCCCTCAACCTCGTCACACAGGAAACCTAATGAAACCACAGCCTTGTTGTTATTATGAATTGTAGGCAGGAAGATCTTTTAGAAAGGCTTTCTGCCCTTTGTTTTTTGTAGTGGTGTTCATTTTTATGTGTGCTAGGGACAGAAGGTATTTGTAATCCTTAGGTGCTAAAAACAGAAGCAATTTGGAGAGATAAGTGCTGAGAAAGTACTTGTTCCATTTTAAGGTTCTACCTTGGCCATGATAGAGTCAGATGTTTTGAGCGTGTCATCTCATCAGATTGACCACTGAAATTGGCACAAAGCCTTGTTGCAAGGTAGCTTATAATATTTAAGTTGCCTTTAAAAAAAWTTTTTTTTTAATTTTTAGGATAGTTTTAGATGTACAGAAAAGTTAAGAAGATAATACAGCAAGGTGCCATATCCAGTTCCACCATCTGTTAACGTCTTTTATWAGTGTGGTACTTTTGTCTCAATTAATGAACTAGGGGCTGGGAATGTAGCTTAGTGGTAGAGCACTTCCCTAGCATGTGCAAGGTTCTGAATTTGATTCCAGTCACCACAAAAGAAAGAGAAAACAAAAAACTAGAAATAAATTAATTAACCAATAGTATAAATTGTAATTAAATTATAATTTAATTCAGATTTCCTTAATTTTTAACAAATATCCTTTTTCTGTTCTAGAATCTCATCCAGGTTACTATATTACATTTAATCATCATGTTTACTTAGGCATCTCTTGACAGTGACACTTTTTTTAAAAATTTATTTTTTAATTGTAGTTGGACACAATACCTCTATTTTATTTATTTATTTTTATGTGGTACTGGGGATTGAACCCAGGGCCTCCCGCATGCTAGAGGAGCGCTCTACCGCTGAGCCACAACCCCAGCCCTTGACAGTGACATTTTGAGTTGACTTTTTATCCTAAAAGAACTGTCCTGCTTAATATTAAAGTATACTGGAGAGTGGTGTAATAATCACTTCATGTGTAGACTTCATGCACTGTGAGTCTGTGTCCTTTGCAACTGCATAGCATGCTGTCTGATCTATAATAGGTGCTCAGTTTTTTGAGTGATTTATTATTTGATTATTGGATCCCTCTGGACAGGTAAATAATGCTGGCTAATACTACTTTGGAAATTAGAGGATTTTAAAGTAGTAATTAATCTTATGCCACAGTTTACTATTCCTGAGATCATTGTTTATTTTTCTTATTTTCTCTACTTTTACCAAAGAAATACTCAGCAGATCATTACACACCTTTCCCTTCTGACCTGGCTTTCCTCTCAGAGCAAGTAGCCGCTGCCTGTGGATTTCAGGGTTTCCAAGCTGAAGCCGGTATCCTGAATTACTACCGCTTAGATTCCACATTAGGAATCCATGTAGACAGATCTGAACTAGATCACTCCAAACCCCTGTTGTCATTTAGGTAAGCTGGTTCCAAAGATTTTGAGTTACTTTTATCATTTCATTATTTTCTTTAAAGAATTAAGCTAAAATAAAGACATTAAACTTTCTTTGAATGGCTGGATTCTATAATCTTCCATTTCTGGGCATCTTAACAATGTATCATAAAGTAAAATTAGTCTTCTATGAGCAACGCCCACATAACAGTTACTTTTTCTCTTTAAGTTGCATGGAGTATGCCTTTTATAATGAAAGATATCCTCTGTGTTCTGTGGAAGAAACAGGTAGAAGATCATAAAGCGAAGTGAGCAGCTTTTTTAGAATAGTAGAGCAAAATCCAAAAGCCTGAGTGTTTACTCTGGTCTCCCTAAACATAACATTGGTCCTGAGTACAATGCCAGTATCTCAACAAAGAAAGTGCCTTTTATAATGAGAATTCATACCCCATTTAAATCAAATGTATGATATGTCAAGATCATTGTATTGTCATGAGCAACTAATTAAAAAAAAAGAAAGTGCCTTTTATTAATGCCTTATCTTTATAATGAAGGAATGATACACAGAGTAAAGAATGCAATTTTGAAAGACTGAAGTCTTAAAAGATACATCAATAAAACTTTATATGGATAATGTTAAAACTCAGTTCTTCACTTGCTTATTTACTTCATCAAATTTTATTTCCAAAAGAGGAAGATTAAACTGAATTGCAAAATGATGAAGTTGGCAATAACTTTGACAATTATAGTTAATAACAGAAAAAACTTCCTATTTTTACTTATTTTTTTGTAGCTTTGGACAGTCTGCCATCTTTCTTCTAGGTGGCCTCAAAAGAGATGAGGCCCCCACAGCCATGTTTATGCACAGTGGTGACATTATGGTGATGTCAGGTTTCAGCCGCCTGTTGAACCATGCAGTCCCTCGAGTTCTTCCACATCCTGAGGGAGAAGGCCTACCTCACTGCCTGGAGACACCTCTCCCAGGTGTCCTCCCCAGAGATTCACTGGTAGAGCCCTGTTCTGTGGAGGACTGGCAGGTATGTGCCAGCTACTTGAAAACTGCTCGTGTTAATATGACTGTCCGACAGGTATTAGCCACAGACCAGGACTTCCCTTTGGAACCCGTGGAGGAGAAAAAAAGAGACATCACCATAGAAGGTTCCTGCCATCTGGATGACCAGAATAGCCAAGTAAAACGGGCCAGGTTGCACCCTAACAGCTGAGACATGGAGATAGGTCTTATATTACCACGGACTCTAGCACCAGGACAAACAAAAACAGACAGGGAAGGACTCATCATAATCACTCTGTTGCCTTGAAAGCCATCTTGAAGAGTAAACTGCCTTCACTTTGCTCAGACACAGTCTAATCCTAGTGAGATGTCAGCAGTGATGTGTGTGCATACGAAAGAGGTATGATGGTCCACACAGCATTCTCAGCCTCTGCCGTTACCTTGAGGGAGGTGGAAGTAAGTTTACAGATCTGTGGAATCTAAATACCTCAGATTTTACTACTGGAAAATATAGCACCACTGCCCCAGTCATCACTGAAGTCTTTGATCTCTTCTGCCATCTTCACTGGCTCTCACAGAGGAATTGCATGTACGGATGACATAGAACTGGATTGTCCCCTAGAAAAGAAATTAATCGTAGCCATCAATTTTGCCTAGAAGACAAATATATGTAAACCAAACAAAAGGGGAACAGTAGTTTCTCCACATCCTTTCTGTCTCCAAACTCTCCCGTTGGCTTTTTAATGCAGTTTTAATTATTGAACTAAAAATGTCCCGAAGGTGTTCTGTTACTGTTTTCTCCATGAATAAACTCACTTGGTTTTAAATTAAAGATCTGTATCTGTCTTTGAGGGTTAGTCTATCTGGGATTGGGTTTTTCCTCTTCTTATTTGCTGTATTGTTCGGCTGTGAAGCCCTCTGGCTGTTTCTGCCCTACACCACCCTGCTCTGCCCTAAGTATTCTCTGTGGCTGTTTCACAGGAGAGACACTTGATAGTCCAGTCACTGCTCTCATGTCTGATGGTAGTCCATAACCTGCTAAGAAAATGCATGAAACATCAAGTCTTCATCTTTGTACCCCCACCAGCTCTGCACACTGTACCTGCAGCAAGTACTTTACATTTCTCTGGACCTCTATTTTTTCACTCATAAAATGGAGAAATATTTACTGCCATCTTCCTAGGGGGAATTTTGGGATTGAACAGGGAATTCAATGCTCTTTTCTAGAAACATGATGTAACATTGTTGTCTTATTACTACTTGGGCTCTAGAGATATCCTAATTCAGTACATTTGTGTGGCAGTGGGCCAGAAGCCACTTTGATGCCTAGTGTTTTTGATGTGTCATGTGGAATTTGCATTTCTCCTCTTTTCTCTTTTGTTGTGGTTGTTTGGTAGGGGGTGGTACTAGAGATTGAACCCAGGGGCACTCTACCTCTACCACTGAGCTATACTGACAGGCTTTTTTTTTTTTTTTTTTTAAGACAGTGTCCTGCTAAATTGCTTAGGGCCTCAATAAGTTGCTAAGGCTGGCCTTGAACCTGTGATCCTCCTGTCTCAGCCACAAAAATAATGAGGATTACAGGAGTACACCATCACAGCTGGCCCCACAAGGTACTTTAAATATGACCCACCTGAAACCAACATACTGCCATTTAGTAAATCCAACAGAGTTCACCCTTAATGCTAAAACCGGTTGCTGCTGCTTCAGCTGATTATCAGAAAAGGGCATTGGCTTGTGCTTAGGAACCATGTTGTGCCCCAAAAAATCCAAAACAGTGCTGGGGATATAGCTCAGTTGGTAGAGTGCTTACCTCCCATGCATAAGGCTCTGGGTTCAATCCCAGCAACACACACACACAAATCCAAAGTAGTAGACTCATTCCATGAAGTGTTCATGCTATGAAAAGCAACTGAGGCCAGCCAAGGGAGCAGATGCCTGCCTCCCATCCCATACTCCCCTGGGAATGTGCTCATTGCGTGGCATGGTGAGAATTGCTACAGTGTTTCTTCTCCTGTCCTTGCTCTCTTCCCCTCCCTCCCTATTTTTGTTAAGCACATATAATTGAAGGTATATGAATGCAATCCTACTTGGTCTTTGACCATATGCAATAAATTATGTAATTCATGGAAAAGGRAAAACTCTACATTTACATGAGGAGATCCCACTAGGTTTTAATTGTCAACCATTTACTTCCTAAGTTAGATGTCAGCAAATTATGACCTACCTCCAGTTTTTGTTGTATTGCCCACAGGATAAGAAAACTTTTTACATTTCTAAGGGGCTGGAGTGGGGAGGGGGCTGATGTCAAAAGAATAATACTTTGTGAAACATAAAAATTATATGAAGTTTAAATTTTCAGTCCATAAATAAAATTTTGTTGGAACCCAGTCACTYTAATTGATTTATACTAATCTGTGGGTACTTTTGTGTTATAAGGGTGGGGCTGAGCAGTTGCAATAGAGACCCTACAAAGCTACAAAGCCAGGAAAGGTCAGCCTGCAGAAAGAACCCTGAAAATGGACCTGAAACTAAGGAAAGGATCAAGGGAAAATTTTTCTTTTTTATTAAGATTTTTTAAATTAATGTTTTATACCAAAAGAGTATATAAAGATTCTGGTGTGGCTATTCAATAGAATCTAGGATGAACAGATGTATAAAGGGTGGAGTCACTATTGGGTCCAGTGGCACAGGCGTGCAATTCCAGCTACTTGGGAGGCTGAGGCAGGATTGCAAAAGTCAAGGGTATGTTGGGGAATTTAGTGAGATCCTATCTCATAAAAAATAAGGGTAGAGCACCCTGGGTTCAATCTCTAGTACAACAAAAAAGAAAAAGTCACAAATGTTAAGCCTGGAAAAACTGGTACCCTAATACTCCCCTTGATAAGAACAAAAATAGGGGCTGGGGTTGTGGCTCAGTGGTGTAGTGCTCACTTAGCATGTGTGAGGCACTGGGTTCCATCCTCAACACCACATATAAAAATAAATAAAGATATTATGTCCATCTACAACTAAAAAAGAAAAATAGCTATGTTGGGCAGTGTGGCATCCTGGAATGTGTAACTCTACATCACCTTTTGGACAGGGCAGTCCTGGATTATGTGCCCTTCTTAGAAATGGTTTGATGATAAATTATGTGGCCATCYTAATGGTTTGTAAATATGTGCCCTTTAGTCCAATAAATTTTACTTCTAGAATTGGGTCCACAAAAGTAATCAGCCATCCAGAATAATTTTTGTGTAAGAGCTTATAATAATGAAAATTTGAAATAAGCTTAATATCCAGCAGCAGGAGAGTTGGCTGATTAGATTCATGTAGCTTTGATTTTCTTCGATACTAGGGTTGGAACCCAGGGTGTCTTGCGTCCTGGGCTGGGCCATCAACCTACCACTGAGCTGTACCCCAGCCCTCATGTAGCCTTTCAACAAATGGTCCTTCAGCACTCCTCCTCGGCTGCACAAGCGCCCCTGGAGCCGGCTGGATGTGCCATAACCAAGATGGAAATCCAGCTATTGCAAGGCACCTTTTAGAAGAACAGGTAGTATAGGCAAACACTTACATATATATTTGGGAGCAGAGGGAACTAGAGGTCAAATCCAGAGGTACTTTACCACAGACCTATATCTCCAGCCCTTTTTATTTTTTGAGACAGTACCTTGCTAAATTCTCCAGGATGGCCTTGAACTTGTGATCCTCCTGCCTCAGACTCCTGGTTGCCCGGATTACAGCTGCACCACCACACAGATCCTCATGATATTTGAGAAAATCCAACTACTTTTGTACAGAATGTTCACATGTTTTTCAAAAACTGGAACACTGTATATACCAAAACATGAATAACCAAAATTACAATTGATGTTTATTTTATTTGGGCTTTCCTGTGTCTCTGATTTCTTTCTTACATTGAAAATCTTTTAAAATCCTTTTTTTAAAGAAAGAATAAAATTTGGCTGTGGATGTAGCTCTGAGAGCACTTGCCCTGGGTTCAATCCCCACTGGGTTCAACTCCCAGCAAAAAGAATAAATATTCATTTTTTCTTTTTGGCAGGGGGAGATGGGTTCTCATTAAATTGCCCAGGCTGGCCTTGAATTTATAATCCTACCTCAGCTACCATGCCTGGCTTGATTTTTTTTTTTCTTCTTTTAAATAGATGATAACTTCTTTATCAGGCACTTCTACCTCTATCTGAAATTTGGATGCAAACCTAGGAACAACAACATTGTCTAACAAAAAGGGGCTGTTTTAATGAAATTCTTATGTTATAAAATGCTAATAGGCACTACAAATTATGTCTTAGAGAAAATTTGATTATTAGGAGAAACAACATGTTAACTTAAAAACAGCTTAAAATAGTATGCCCAGTATTTACAAAATTTTTTAATGTTCAATACATAGAAAAAGCTAACATGATTCCCAGATTTTCTACAGCCAGCATAAATTGTTCTTTTGAAAGCCTTTCTGAGGCTTTTCAAAGGGACCAGTGGGGCACATGCTGAGTCAAGCAGCACCAGTTTTGTGAATTGTCACATCAAGTGTCATTTCTAGTTGTCTTCCCTGATCAATCTGACACCCTCTCAGTTTCTCTGACCTTCCTTTTTCTTTAGAATATAGTTGCCAAAATGGATCCACTCAGTATGCTTCCTGTTATTTCAACAGAGCCTCTTTCCTATGGCTCATTTTTGCCTCACATCTGGTTTTTCCTAGAAGGGTCCCAGGGCCTCAGTGAGACACAGATGTATTGCTAAGTAGGACAAACTCAGCAAGATTTGGCTTTCCAGTATTCCAATTTTCTCTGTTCCTTTTCACTAAGATAAGCTGGTATTATTCATTTTCCCTCAATCTGAAGACTGTTTATTAGAGGAGGGAAAAAAAAAGACCCTAATACCTGAGATGAATTCAACTAAGGCAAATTAGAATGATAATGAGGCAGAAAGGAACCCTGGGAGTGACTATTGATCTCTGGAGGAGCTAAACAGAGACTCCTCACCTGTTTCAAAGGTTACAGCGGAAAAGCGGTTTCTTAGCCTGAGTGCTAAATTTTTATTGATGTTTCTTTTGATCAGCTACCTATCCAAATTTGAGCCCTTATGGAGATGGTTTCTTTTTATTTTAGTTGTAGGTGGACACAATACCTTTATTTATTTGTTTGTTTTTGTGTGGTGCTGAAGATCAAACCCAATGCCTCACATGTGCTAGGCAAGTGCACTACCACTGAGCTACAGCCCCAGCCCTGGAATTGGGTTTTTGATTCTCAGTTCATTTTGTTGTAAAAACAGATTTCCTACTAAGATAATAGAAGGAAAGTGGAATAGAGTGGTTATCAAGGAAGGTAGTTTTTTTTCTCCTGTGATGGAAATGGAACCCAGGGCCTCATGCATGCTAGGTAAGTGCYCTATTACTGACTTACACCCACAGCCCAAGAAAGCCACATTTTAATAACAGTTGTAACACTTAACTTTGTGACCTTGAATAAGTAAGTCACTGAGCCTAGCCTCAGTTGACCTTTTTTTAATATTTTTTGAGTTGTAGGTGGACATAATACCTTTATTTTATTTATGCATATGTGGTGCTGAGGGTTGAACCCAGCGCCTCACAAGCACTAGGTGTGCCCTCTACCACTGAGCCACAACCCCAGCCCCTCAGTTTGCTTTTTTGAGCCCCATTTTCTGATCTAAATGAGGTGTGATCAAGTAATCCTTGTTACATATGAGCTCTGCAATAGTGTATTTCTAAAATGAGAACTTAATCCCACAGAGAGGCTGGATAAGCACAAAGCAAAGCTACCCCAGTAGCTTTTGGTAAGGAAATC